GGGAAATCCATTGTGCTGTGTTGCTTAACTGAAAGCTTTCATTATAAACGTGCTTTATCACTTTGAGCCGAAATCTGCTCCTGGACCTTTCACCCACAACCAGGCTAATTCCGAATTCCTTTTCCCCGTGACAGGCTCACATGTTTGCCCACATGTTTCCCCAAAGAGCTGCCCTTCTCAGGGCAAGCATCTCCCGTCCTCACACAGCTCCTCATTCCCGGACTCCGGCTGCACCCTTGCTAGTCCATCACCTGATAAATGTGTGGAGTTTATCATCCGACAAAAATCGGAGCACCACCTACTCCCAGTCCCTAAAGGTGCATGCGGTGCAGAGATATCTCTGAGGAGAGAAGCTTTTTTTGTTGTTGTTTTAACAAATGAGATGTAAGCTGAACTGTGGTATGTTCCCTTCGAGCACTCCACTCAAAGCAAAAGAAGTGGTTCTGTCTCCCTTTTCTCTTCCTTGTTGACTGGAATGCAGACATGATGGCTGGAACTTGAGCAGCCATTTTAGACCATGAGGCACTGTGCTAGGAATGACAGCACAGCACATAGGAAAAGCTCAAGGTGCCAATGACTGTGCAGAAGCCATACCAGCCAGGAGCAGCTTCCTTTGGAGTTTTCTTGTTTTAATATATGGAAGTGAGCCCGGCCAGTGTGGCTCCGTGGTTGAGCATCGATGCAGGCACCACCAAGAGGTCACCAGTTCAATTCCTGGTCAAGGCACACGCCCAGGTTGCAGGATCGATCCCCAGGGGGGCATGCAGGAGGCAGCCGATCAATGTTGATGTTTCTCTCTCATCCATGTTTTCCTCTCTCTCTTCCTCTCCCTTTCTCTCTCTCAAAATAAAAAATCAATAAAAGAAACATTTAATGTGTGGGAGAGAAATTATCTGTCTAGTGAAAAAACTGTTTTCCTCTCTCATTCCTGCCCTCCTTCCTCCACTCCTTCCTTTAATCTTTCTATTTCCCTTTCCCTCCCTCGACTTCTCCCTCCTACCTTCCTCTCTTCTTCCCTTCTTCCTTTTTGCACCCAAACTTAACTCTATCTGATACTCAGCCTGGCGCTGTTCCATTTCTCCAATAAAGCAGATCAAACAGAAGAATAAATTGAGTGGAGCCGGCCCACCACCTGCTCTGCAGGAAAACACCATCCGTCAGAAGAGTCCGCTCTGTCCAGACAAGCAGAGCTGAGGAGGAGCAGAGACCAGCCCCGGGGAGACGCTCCCCAGGCAGGTCTGGAGGACAGTCCGGGCCATGGGCTTCGTGCCTGCCTCTCTGGCACCCGCTCACTCGGGGGAGGGGGCAGCGAGGGAGAGGGAGTGAAGGGAATTAGCCTGTTATGCATAGAGCTGTGTGTCTACGATTTAAAAAAAGCAAGTGCTTGGCAAAGAGGGGAAAGAAAGAGGGAAAACCCGCTGAAACCCCTTGTCTGAGGCCCCTTGTTAGACAGCCCCCACCTCCATTCCATCTCAGTCTTTGGAAAATTCACTAAACCTCAGTGCCAGAATCTTCCATCTGCTCCCACACACACATATTCACCTCCCCTCCTCTCCTTCTACCCCGGGGCTGGCCTGTGCGGCCCATCAGAGGGCTCTCCTGGCTCACACGTTGGGCTAATAGGGAGCCCTGCAGGAGACTAGAGGGAAGGAGGAGAGGGCTGTGGGGCATCTAGCCCGGCCCCTCCCTCTCTGGCTGTGTCCCCTGATGGAAAATCACTGTTCCCCTTAGGGCAACCTTGAGA